GCAGGTTCTAGAACGTTCTCTGTTTACATATACATATTAGGAGTGTGGGGAAAATTGACCCTGCTTCTCTCAGTAGTCCTGTCTTGGGGGTAAGATTCAGAGAGAGGCAGTATCTTTCACATTCTGCTTTGTACACATGTATTTTGGGGGGTTTGTAATGTACATATGCTACCTTTATTAAAATAGCAACAAGAAAGATCCCTGCCATTTCAGGAAAAACAAAAAACCAGAAAACAACACCCAGGTCAGACTTTGCCAGTGGTGCTTTCTACATTTCCCAGCTTGTCAGAACTGTTCTCAGATCATCACAGCCCTACACATAGTCCAGGGACGTAGGAGCTCACAATTCTTGTTTGCTGCCTTGAATCATTTTTAGAGGGGATTTTCAGAGTAAGAACATTTACGTAGGGATGAAGCCCTGAGTAGATGAACAGTGTTTGCTGTTGGTACTTGTCTGCTTCCTCTCTTTGCATCTAAATGTAGTTGTTTACTACTTGTCTTCTTCAAAAAGGTATGGTTTCCGGAAGCCACCATATGTAGAGCTGAAAGCTCGGCCAAAACTTGGAGAGAGAGAAGTGACTTTAGTTCATGTGACAGACTGGATAGAGAAGAAACTGGAACAAGAGTTTCAGGTAAATGTGTGGTGTCACCTGGTGTGCGTTTCACCTGAGTCTCAAAGCTCAGGGCAGAACAGAGGCTCTGAAGTGCATCTGGGTCAGGATCCTCTTTTGAGAATCTAAAAGCTATGGGCCCTCATTCCAGGAAAGTACCCATCATGATCAAACAGGCCTAACGCTTTAGGTACAGTTTGAGAAACCCTGAACCTTATCCACAGAACCCTGTAAAGTAAGTAGTTCAGAGGAAGCCCCAAAGGTGCGTTCACTAGGCCAGAGCTCCTTCTCCAAGCCTGTCCTTCTGCTTTCTGCCCCCAAAGCTAATAGCAGTGTAGCCGAGGCCCCGGGATGAACCATCAGATATTCGAGGCACAGAGGTCTTCCAAGGTGTTATGGATTGGCAAACAATTTACTTCGTAAATGAGTTTCACCTTTTGAAGGAGACCTCCTATTTTTGCAGTGGTATATTTTGAGCTCTTGTCTTTAAAATTTTATATTTGTATTTAAAAGCTATGGATTAACATTAACTGAAAACCAGTTGCTGGAAAGCTTAGTAATAGCACCAAGTGAAAAAGTACTTTGAACCCAGTGAGGGGAAAGACAACCTTTAGTTTTTTCCTTTTCCCTAGATCCTACAATAGGCATTAGAGTGGGTCATCTCTTTCAGGGATATTGGGGTACAAGGAGCACAAAGAAAGGACGAGGGGGCAGAGGTTGGCATCTGGTTTTGTTTTGTTTTTTTAAGATGTATTTATTTTAGAGAGTGTAGGGAGGGGCAGAGGGAGAGGGAGAGAATCTCAAGCAGACTCCCTCCAGAGTGTGAAGCCCATCGCAAAGACCTCGGCTCAGTCTCACAATCCCGAGATCATGACCGGACTCGAAATCAAGAGTTGGACACTCAGTTGACTGAGCCACCCAGGCACCCTGGCACCTGGTATTTTTGAGGCAAGTTGGGAAGTTGATGGGTAATTGCTACAACCTCCCATAGCCACCTTTTTTTGCTTTTGTGTATGCTTTTGTAAGAGGGCATTACTGGAGACTGAATGCATTGCCAAAATTCACGTGCGTAAAATTAGTTTATAAACAGGATAGGCAAAGCACCATTACTATCAATCACCGATTATTTGTGCGTTCATTATAGTAGGACTTCTTTCATACATAGCTTTGTCTGGTTCTGGGTGAAAAAAATTAGCTTACATTTTGTTGCTAAGATTTAACTGGATAAATTCACTTGGAATTTGTGTTCTGGACATAGCAATTTGGAAATACTATGAGCCCGTGAAGCCAGTTCTCTTTAAGTAATGGTATTGAATATTTATGAATTCATGAGTAGTTTTATCATATGTACATGAAATCAAAGGCTGCTTCCACCCCAGAGCTGACTTACCGGGTTCTTCTGTTCATGTGCTGATGTGATTCAACTCTTTTTTAAGTGTGGCATAGGAACTAGTTTAGAATATGCACAAAAAGTTGTTTCATATGTACTTTTAAAACTTCTCCAGGGGCGCCTGGGTGGCTCAGTCGGTTAAACCGCTGCCTTCGGTTCAGGTCATGATCCCAGGGTCCTGGGATCAAGCCCCGCATCGGGCTCCCTGTTCAGCGGGAAGCCTGCTTCTCCCTCTCCCTCTGCCTGCCTCTCTGCCTACTTGTGCTCTCTCTCTGTCAAATAAATAAATAATCTTTAAAAAAACAAAAAACTTCTCCAAAGCCTAAAATGATCAGAACAGAGTAGGGGGACAGCCTGAGAAAGGAACATTCTTCCACATGGCTATTTCTTTCTACAGAAAGTTTTTGTCATGCCAAACATGGATGATGTCTATATCCCCATAATGCACTCAGCCATGGACCCTCGCTCCGCTTCCTGCCTCCTCAAAGACCCACTTGTGGAGGCTGCTGATCAGCTGTGATGGGTGAAGATCTGACCTTCCCAGTATTATGAGACCTAGCGAAAGGTGTGGGGTTCTTGGCTGCCTTCTGTGCTGTAGCATTGGCCTCTCCTCGTGCCACAGCTTCTGCCCTCCGCCTGCTGGTGCCCATTCCACCGCGAGGTGTCATTCCACGCGTCCAGGAACTGGTCTCTGGGTTGCCGGCTGCAAAGCTTTGACTCGGCAAAGGAGACTGTAGAAGAATCACCACAGTGGATCCAGAGGCTACAGATGACTCACACCATGGCTTTTTTGAGTCTACCAGTTTTTGTGGCAGCAAAAGAACACAGTAAGAGTAAAGCTGTACAACTGGAAAGCTTTCCCCTTGCCTTGACTCCTCCAAAGCTTTTCCTCAGGCAGCCAGTGCACAATGGAACATTTTCTCACTTCTACAGTTTGTGGGGGATGCAGCCCTCCACACTGCCAGAAAATGTCAGTTCAGGAACATGTGGAGGGTGGGGAGTGGAATTTTGTGAACCATTTCATTGATGATAAAGAGATACACATAGCAACTTTTCATATTGTGCATTTTGGAAGCAAGTAGCCATAGAACACACATACACACACACACATTTGATCAGCTGGGGTGGGGACAGTGGGATTTGTGAACATTAGGCAAAGCCATGAGATCAAACCATCCCAAGCCTTCTATCAATGAGATACAATCACCTGATTTCTAACTAATCCCAAACGTTTTCCTGAGACATGAGCATGTGTGAAAATGTCCAATACTGCACATGAGTGGATTGGGGTGTGGGCAGAAAGCCAGAGCCACAGCTTTCTATCCAGCACCTCCAACGTGCTCTGTGCTTCATATAGGCATCTTAAATGCTTTGTTCATCTAACTGGTTTAGGATATTTTGAGGTTGTGGGCAGTTCCCTCTTCTGACAGCCAAAACGGAGAACTCTCTTACCACCTTTCAGAGTCGAGACCAAGTTTGCTCAACATTAAACACTACATTATCTAAAAATCCATGTGACCTTTAATGTTGCCAACCTTATTTTGTGCATTTGTGTCAGAATCTTTAGTTTACAAGTTTGGGGGCTCTCGTTGTATAATTTGCTTTGAGAAGTACTCTTAAAACAATTTTTTTGTTTAAAGCTGCATTCAACATCAAAACTACCGTGGGTAACTTTTGATAACTTACATCTGTGGACAAAGCTAATAGTGGTTTTTTAAACAGCACCTTGCCTGAACATGACTTTAAAGAAATTAATATATTGAAAAAATATTATTTGAACCCTTGATTACTTTAAATGCACCATTAAACATTGACTTAAATTATTTGATCATTCCAGTTGGTGTACTGTTCTAATTTCTCAGTGTGTAGGCCGATTTGCCTGTCAGTCCGCATGTCTTGTTCACTGGTCTATAATTTTTGTGCAATAACTAAAGGCAAAGGACTAGACGCACTACTGTGTAAAGAGATTACACGACTACCCTGTTGCACTTAATCAAATAGTATGTGGGGATTTGCAGTCGCTTGCGTTGTTTCACAAAATAAATATCTCATTGTCAAATACTAGATAAGCATCCAAGTTATTTCTACTCAATCCTTTTTGGATAATAGGGAGAATAAACCGTGCGTAGAGGTCACTTGGGCACTCAGCTGCCAAAGCAGCTTACATTTCCTGGGTGATCACCAGATGGGCTTTCTAATACTGCAGAGTGGTCCTCACCTCAGCGGATTTTAAAACACCCGAGGGACAGTCTGGTTTCTGTGCTGGATCTTACACCCTCAGTAGCCTCGTTAATCCTGTGAACCTGGAGCGCCCTGCAGTTACTACACACCAAAGCAGTTCAAACACTGCCCTCATGCATCCTGGCCTTTCAACAGTGCTGCCTTGTACTCAGAACTGATACACCTTTCACCTAAACCCAGGTGAGATGGCTCCTCACCAATCATCTGGACCGGGAAGGAGTGTGCATTTACTTAGGTGCCTGATGTGACCAGAAATGCATAAAATTTAATTCACCTTTACAACGACCTTCTTCAGGCTAACTGGGCTAATTTGTCCAAAGCCTTTATCCCCATGCTCAGCAAAGTATACAAATAAAAACTGGCCCTAAATGGTAGTTTTTCTAAATGGGTCGCTGCCATACTTTAGCCAGGCGAGTTTTTAAATTCATGCAGCTTCAAGACTGAAACCAGTTCCGGGGCCCTTAAACTGCTCACACTTAGCTGCCGCCCCCCCTTCAGAGGCCATCCACGCCGCGGTTAACCTGCAGGTCTCGAGATCACGGACGACAGGACTTACAGGAGAGGTACAGAAACGTGCGGGGCACTGAGTAGCAGGGCCTACGGGATCCCCGACGTCTCTCCAGGGCGCTTCAACCTCGGCTAAAAGGGCGGAGGCTGGAGTCGTCGCATTCCCCCCTCCCCGGAAAACCTCCCGCCCCCCGCAGCCGGGTGCCGCCGTGTCGCTCGCGGTTAAAAGGGCCGCCGGCGGGAGAACCAGGCGGCCCCAGTTATGCGCAAGCGCGTACTCTGGCGCTGCAGCCTGACCCCCGGCGCCACGCGCAGGCGCAGCGGGGGCTCAAAAGCAGCGCGTCGCGACAAGGAACACCAACAGCAACACCAGCGCTGGGATCAAATCCTTTTATTGAAGGGCTTCGGGGAATGGTCCAAGAGGAGGAGGACAGGGAGATGCGACGTCCTCGGCCCGGCCGGAACCTGCAAGAATGAGAGCGGGGGGTTAGCGGCTGTGCGCCCGCAAGCCCGTTCCCTGCCCGCCGCAACCCCGGAGGCCCCGCTCAGATTGTAGTTCGCATCACCCGCATCAGCAGTCTAACACGTGCTTTTTTGGGAGTGTCATCACTGCAGGCCCCCCGCGACCCACCCGGCTCCCGGGCCGACCCGCCGGAGCCCGGTACAGACACATCTCACCTTCTCAACGTCACAGTCCCCGAAAGACCGGGCCCCTTCCTCCGGCTTCTACTTAAGGAGCTGACAGGAGGCAGTTGGGCGGGCCTTACCGGCGGTAACCAATAGCAAGGGACACTTCCGGTCACGTGCCCGTAAAGTAGCCCAAAGAGCGGCCGTGCTCGCTGAGTCCTCCAGAGTATAGAGTGGTCACGTGCCGACCATAGAGATGGGCGTCAAGGGAAGATGTGAGTCTGGATTTCTTTCCGAGTCTAGGTTGCTGCCTTGTAATTAGCGCGTCTCTGTACAGTACACCAAAGGGCAGTTTACAAACAGGACGCAACTGAGTCACTTTGAAATGATCCGTGCCAGGAGGTAGGCTAGGAGCTGAGCATATAAAGGTGACAGTCTAACCTTGTTCCTGAATTGAAAGTAACCTGTTCGGGCAAAAAGAGCCTGTCTTTGAAAGTAGAGGATATGCAAAAAAAAAAAAAAAAAAGAAAGAAAGTAGAGGATGTGCAACCAGATCCTGACTTTGTGACGAATTCGTTGTATGACCCTCAATTTGAGAAAAATAGGAATATCCAAAAAAGTTGTGAAGATTAAATGAAATCATGTCGGTTGCCTGGCACATTCTGAGTGGTAAACAAATAATTGTTTTGTTGGTTTTTTTAAAGATTTTATTTATTTATTAGACAGAGAGAGACAGTGAGAGAGGGAACACAAGCCGGCGAAGTGGGAGAGGGAGAAGCAGGCCTCCCGCTGAGCAGGGAGCCCGATGCGGGGCTCGATCCCAGGACCCTGGGATCATGACCTGAGCCGAAGGCGCTTAACGACTGAACCCCCCAGGCGCCCAACAAATAATTATTTTAAAGGACTGCTGTGAGGTGGAAAACTTAGGTGAGTGCAGAGCTTTAATAAATGCTAAAATAGAGCTATGAACAACCTACTGTGGAAGCCCCAAGGAGAGAATGCCTAACTTTGGGAAAGTTAAAAGTACTTCTAAGTACTGAACTCTTAGAGTAAGCCAGACACACTCTTCACTACAGTTGACCCTTGAACAAGGAAGGGGGTGAGGGAGGTGTTGGGGCACCCACCACCCAGCGGTGGAAAATTCCTGACTCAATTATGACTCCCCCAGAGCTTAACTATTAGTAGCCTACTGTTGACCAGAAGGCTTATGGATACATAAGCAGTCAATGAACTCATATTTTTGTGTTATATGTATTATATGCTATATTCTTATAATAAAGTAAGCTAGAAAGAAAATCATAAAGGAGGGGCATCTGGGTGACTCAGCAGGTTAAGCATCTGACTCTTGATTTCACCTCAGGTCATGATCTCGGGGTTGTGAGATCTGCCTCCCATGGGGCTCTTGCTGGGCGTGGATCCTGCTTGAGATTCTCTCTTTTCCCTCTGCCCCTCCCCCTGATCCTGCACACTCTCTCCCTCTTAAAAAAAAAAAAAAAAGCATACGTTTGCAGTGCTGTATGGTATTTGTTGAAAAAAAAAAAGGTGGACCCATGCAGTTCAAACCCATGTTGTTCAAGGGTGAATTGTAATGGAGAATAATATGGCACTGCCCTGTGAGAGCTTGATTTACCAGGGGAGAGAACAGCAACCAGTCATAATATCTGGTTTTCTTTATTTCCTTAATGTTCTCTTTGGGAAATCTTTTCCTTTTTTCCTCCTAATTTAATAAGGAAAATGTAGTAAGAAAAGCATTTCAACCTGACCTTGTAGTTAAATTGTACTCTGATTTTCATTATTTTCGACACAGTCTTTAGTTAAATTTAAAAATTCCTCTATGACCCAAAGTAATGATTATTTTGTCAAATGTCTTGTGACGTCTATGCAGTTATTTTTATTGCTGTTTAAATTTTTATTATTTTCTACATTTATTACATTGTGGTACAGTTTCTACATTAGGAAATGAATACAAGTTTTCTTTGTGGCCTAGAACATCTATTTTTACAAATGTTCCACAGATTCTCAGGGCACCTGGATGGCTCAGTCCGTTAAGCATATGACTCTTGGTTTCACCTCAGGTCATGATTGTGAGATCCAGCCCCAACTGGGTTCTGTGCTCAGCTCTCTGTGCTCAGCTGGGAGACAGCTTGAGATTCTCTCTCTCCCTTTCCCTCCCCATCTGCCTCTCCCTCCCCGTGTTTCCTCTATTACTCTCTCTCTCACACACACACACACGCACACTCCGTCTCTCAAATAAATAAGTAAAATCTTAAATAAATAAATGTTCCATGGATTCTTGCAACGACAGTGTTTTCACTATCATGTACATTGACATGAAATATTTATTATTTCAACCTTAATTGTGTTGTAATCATATTTTCCAAATGTCTAATTTATACTTGATTGGGAGTATATGTACTGTCACTGACTGTGACGTGTTAAGATTATGCTTCAAGTATGAAATGCTGGGGAGGATGCAAAGCAGCAAGAACTTTGCTCCATTACTATTTGGGAATGCAAAATAGTATATACATTTTGGAAAAGAATTTGGACAGTTTCTTACAAAGTTAACTTACCCAAGAGAAATGAAATTTTATGTTCACACAAAATCCTGTACCAAATGTTTATAACATTATTCATAATGCTTCCAAAGTGGAACTACCTAAAAGCCCTTCAATGGGTGGATCTTAAGCAACTGTGGTACATTCATACAATTGAATGATACTCGGCAATAAAATAGAATGAACTATTGATACATGCAACACTTGCAAGAATCTCAGAGGCATTATGCTGAGTGAAAGAAACCAGACTCAAAAGATGGTATGATTCCATTTATATGATATTCTAGAAAAGAGAAAACTATAAGAACCAAAAACAGATGAAAGATTTTCCAGGAATTGGAGGTGCAGGAGCATTTGACTACAAAGGTGCAGCATGAGTGCATTTTTGAGGGTGATCGAACTGTTCTGTATCTTGATCGTGATGGTTACATGACTTTATGTTAATTTGTCGAAATTCATAGAACTATACCCCCACATGGTTTCATATTACTGTAGGACATTTAAAAATAAAAAATTAGGGTGCCTGGGGGGCTCAGTTGGTTAAGCGACTGCCTTCGGCTCAGGTCATGATCCTGGAGTCCCGGGATCGAGTCCCGCGTCGGGCTCCCTGCTCGGCGGGAAGTCTGCTTCTCCCTCTGACCCTCCCCGCTCTCATGTGCTCTCTGTCTCTCTCATTCTCTCTGTCTCAGATAAATAAATAAAATCTTTAAAAAAAAAAATTAAAAAATTATGCTTTAGTCGTTTTCCTTGATTATTTCTATTGTTATTTGCTTGGTATATTTTGAGGCTATGCTCTTTATCTCATTACACTTTGCGGCTGATAATATTCCATCATGGATTACATGTATCTATGTATAAAATAACACTCATGTTTTTTGCCTTGAGTTCTAATTTGTCTTACATTAACATTGCTACTTGTGTCTTTTTTTGTTTGTTTGTGTTTGCTGGTATAACTTTGCCCATCCCTTTATTTTTAACCTTTCTATGTTACTTTGTTTTTAGTGTGTCCTTTGTATGAGGCACATGGTCGGCTTATCGTGTTTAGCCCAATGTGACAATACTTGCCTTTTCAAATTTTTAGTATGAAATGTCTCTGCATACAAAAGAGTACATATAAAGTATATGTGTGGTTTGGAGATTATAATAAATTGAACATTCATATGCTCACCACTTTTAGAAAAATGACATCGATAATTTTAAAGCTCACTTTCTGCCCCTTCTGATTCCATCTCCTTCCCACACTCTCAGAGGAAACCACCATCCTGAGTTTAGAGTTTGTCTTGTTTCACTTTTTTTTTTTTAAAGTTTTGCTTCATACATTTATATGTTATTTAGTTTTGCGTGATTTTGAGCTTTATAGAAATAGAATATATGTATCTTCTATGACTTACTCTTTTTATTGCATAATATTGGTGACATTCACGTTGTATGTTTGCAGCTAGTAATTGTACTAAGGCAACCAGATTCACTTCTGTGTAGCATCCCAGTACACAGTTACATCACTCATTACACATCTGTCCTCTTTTTGTTGGATGTTTACAGTACCTACCGTTTTCATTATTGCAAACAAAGCCGCTCCGAATATTCTTGTGTGTGTGCAAAAAAGTTCCTTTGGGGTATGTAGATTGAAGCACAATTGCTGGGTCATAGGGTAGGCACATTTCCAACTTTCTAGATAATAGCAAATAACTTTTCAAAAGTGGATACTGTACTTTGCACTCCCACATTGGCCTCCACCTTCACCAATTCTTGATATTGTCAGACTCTTCATACGTGAGTATAAAATGGTATCTCAGTGTAGTTAAAGTTTTAAAGCATTTATTTTTATACAACCATTGACCAATCAGCTGACAATCAGGTTTTCTCTTCTGCAGTTGCTCTTTTAAAATCCAACTTTATAAAAAAAAAGAAAAATTCAACTTTACACACAATAAAAGGCACCCATATTAGGTGTCCATTTCCCTGGTTTTTGTTTGTTTTTACAAATAGGTACATTTGGGGGCGCCTGGGTGGCTCAGTTGGTTAAGAGGCTGCTTTTGGCTCCGGTCATGATCCCAGGGTCCTGCTCGGCGGGGAGCCTGCTTCTCCTGCCTGCCGCTCCCTCTGCTTGTGCTCTCTCTCTCTCTCTCTGTCAAATAAATAAAATCTTTAAAATAAATAAATGTCTTTTAAAAAAACACAAAAAACAAATAGGTACATTTGTGTGACCTCCCCCACAATCAAGACACAGAAAATTCTCATCGCTCCAAAATGCTTCTCTCTTGCCTCTTTGTAGTCAGTGCCCGCCCTCTTCAATCACCAACTCAGGCAACCACTGATCTATGTTGTTATTACAGAATGACTTTGCCTGTTTTAGATTTTCTTGTAAATGGATTCATGCAGTTTGTACTCTTTCGTGTCTGGCTTCTGTCACTTAAACGAATGTTTTTGAGATTCATCCATATTATCGTATCATAATCCATGCTTTTGTGTTGCTGAGTAGGATTTCATCGTATGAATATGCCATCATTTGTTTTTCCATCCACATATTTACAGAATTTGGGTTGTTTCCAGTTTGGGGCTATGATGAATAAAGCT